TCTGGTCGCCTGCACCCTCTCCCCCACCCAGTTCCATTTCGCGAGCTTAACCTTTTCCGCAGTAAGACAGAGAGGGAGAGGGAGAGAAGGGAGAGGGGAGAGAGGGAAAGTTGCAGAGAAGGAGACGCAAGCAGTCAGACAGTCTAGCTGCCTCTCTTAGTTACATGCGCCTAACCTGCGATATTGGTGTAGTGAGACGCAGAGAAGCTAGAATAACCTGAATTCCGCGTAGAGAGAGGGAGAGGGAGTGAAAGAGACGCAGACAGTCAGACTGTCTAGCTGCCTGCCCTCTCTTTCTCACACGCGCCAAACCTTCGTCGATGTAGCGAGAGACAAGGAAACTAGAAAAGAGGGAAAGAGAGATAGAGAGGGTGAGAGAGAGAAAAAAGAGAGACGCAGACATTCAGACTGTCTAGTCGTCTGCACTCTCTCAAAGCTTACCAAATCCTCCTTCATCAATGTGTCCGGTGAGTTCTTCTGTCCGAGCAACGCCAGGTCGTGTACGCTGAATCCTTCCGCATCGAATACCACCTGGAAATCTGTGTCTGTCTGTGTGTCTGTGTGTATGGATGTCTGGATGTCAGAATGTCCAAACAACCAGATATCCAGATATCCAGATATCCGGATGTCCACCACACACCGCAACCGTACCTGATACAACTCCTTATCCTTCTGAATGATTTTCCGATCCTTATCCAACACAATCTGCTTCTTTGCCCGTTTCCTTCCCTGTCGTCTGTTTGCTGACGTCGACGACGTCTTCCTCACCACCACAACCTCACCGCCGCTGCCGCCTCCGTCCTCCTTCTTCTTTTTTCGTTTGCCTGGAAGAAAATCCGTGTGTCGGGATGTCTGGATGTCCCGATATCTGTTCGTCCGGATATCCGAATATCTTTCTGTCTGGATATCCGGGTGTCTAGGTATCTGTCTGTCCGGACGTCCAGATGTCTGGATATCTGGGCATCCGGATGTCTGTATGTCTGGATGTCTGGATATCCGGATATCTGTCTGTCCGGATGTCTGTATGTCTGGATGTCTGGATATCCGAATATCTGTCTGTCCGGGATGTCTGGATGTCTGGATATCTGGATGTCTAGATGTCCGGATGTCCTGATATCAGGGTGTCTGGATATCCAGATGTTTAGCTGTCCGGGTGTCCAAATGCCCAAAAGATCGGGACTCCAGTTACCCCAACGGCCGAAAAACTTTTTCTGTGCGAACGTCCGGATACCCGGATGTCCAATTATACGGAAGGGCAGCGACCCCACAGGCCCCGATAAATGTTAGTCTATCTGTCTGTATTTCCAAACTTCCGGATGTCAGTATTCCCAGGGAACTCTAAATTTTAAAATCCTGAAATCTGTCCTTCCGGATGTCCAAGTCCCAAAGCCTAGTTCGCCAACAAACCTAGTTTAGGGGACCCCAAGATCTGTCTGTCCGAACATCCGCTATATCCGGATGTCCACCCCCACCCCTCTTCTCACTTACATGATAGTGCGTTGCCCATAACCTGTTATCGTTGCGTTAGAAGGATAAATATGTTTTTTTCTCTTGTCTCAATAGAAAATATGTGGAAAACGGTTAAATTTAAAAATGGCGGGAATTTTAAATTTTCAAATTTTTCAAAAGCGTGGATTCATTTTTTCGTTGTTGGCATTGAAATTTTTGGGAAAGGTTTACGTGAAAATTAAAACGGAATCGGGGTTTCTCTGGGATTTTTCAAAGGGGTTTTTCGAAGGGGTTCCCGGGGTTTATCCGGGTTTTTCCCAACATTTTTCCGGTGTTCTGTTTCTTGTTTTTTACAGTGAATTTTCGGTGTTTTTTCGGGGGTTGCCTCCGGTATTTCTCTGGGGTCTTTCGGGGATTTTTCTGGGGTTTTTCCAGGGACTTATGGGATTTTTCAGGATTTTTTCCGGATTTTTTCCCGGAATATTGCCGGGATATTCCTAGGTGTTGTTCGGAATATTTCCGAAGGGTTTTCCTGTGTTTTCCAGGGATTTTTTTTTTCGAGAATTTTCCAGGATTTTCACCGGGGTTTTTCCCGGACGTTTCCGAGATTTTTTTTGCCGGGGCTCTCCAGGTTTTTTCTGGGGTTTTCCCGAGAATTTTCCGGAATTTTTACGAGGGTTCTCGCGTGATTTTCTCGGGTTTCTCCGAGAGTTTCACCGGGGGCTTTTTGAGAATGTTCCCGAGATTTTTCGGAATTTTTTCTGGTGGTTCTTCGGGATTTCCCAGTTGTTTCTCCGGCTTTCTCACTGGGTATTCTTCCAGGATTTTTCCGTGTTATTTCCGGGAGTTTACTCTGGGGTTTCTTCGGTGTTTCCGGGATTCTAACGAGGGTTTTTGCGGGATTTTCTCCGGGGTTTTTTCGTGGTCTATCTGGAGTTTTTCAGAGGGTTTCCCGGGGTTTTTCCGGTGTTTTCCAGAGTTTTCCAGGGTTTTTTCGGGGCTTTTCCGAGATTTTTGTTCCGATTTTTCTTCAAAAATTTTTCCGGGATTTTTCCGGGGTTTTCGGAGATTTTTCCGGAATTTTTACGAGGGTTTTTGCAGGGTATTTTTTTGCGTCACTGATCTTCAATCTCCATCTATCAAATTTCAACAAATAAAAATTGCGTGCAAATCAAATTATCTTCAATTTTATTTTTCAGATCTGAAACTGAAACCATCACTTCCTTATGTTCTCTTCTTCTGTCTTCTTGACCTTTCCTCCCCCTTCATTTACCCCCGAACTATCACAACAAATCAGTCTCTCCTTCGGTTTTCTCTGTGTCTCTTCTTCCCAAATGATCTCTCATCACCTAATTAATTACACACTTTTGGAACCCATCGTAAACATTACACTTTTCGAGAAACTGAAAAAAATTCGAAAAAACTGCAAAAAGATTCTCGGTATAAAAGGAAAGGGTTGATTGGGGTCAAATCACTCTCAACATGTCATCGGCAACAGTCCTTTCGGTACTGGCCGGACTCTCTGGTCTCGTCGTTTTTGGAGCCCTTATTTCGGTCTTCCAAATTTACACCGATATTAACTCTTTCGTCGAGGAGAGCCACAGAGAATTGGGAGAGTTTAGAGTGAGTTTTTTTGTTTCAGCTGATGGTCTAGGAAATCGAAGTTAGGCCATTATCTTTCTTAGATGCTTCTTCAAATAGTTGGAAACTTGATGGCCTAGAAAACCAACTTTTGAGAAAGTTAGGTCACCGAGACAAATTTCGCCTTTACGCTCGAAAATACATGTCTAGATGTGTCTCAAAAATCCTAGAACATGATCCAAAAACCAAGCCAAAATCTTCATTTTCAGCCGAGATATAGTCGAAATACTCGAAAATTTTATTCTGAGCAATTCCAAATAATTAGGCGGCTTAACTTGGCTCAAATTCACTAAATCCGAGTTCTGTGAAATGGAAAATGATCAGGAAGTCATTTGAAGCAGAATCCGCACAAATTCGAGAAAGTGGCCTAGAAAACCAATTTTTGCGAAAGTTAGGCCACCAAGCCATTTTTGGTCTTAACCCTCGAAAATATATGACTAGTTGCGGTTTCAAATTCCTTACAAATTGGTCTAAGAATCAAGCGAAAACTTTCATTTTCAGTCGAGTTATAGTCAAAATTCTGAAAAACTTTATTCTAAGCAATTCCAAAAAATGAGGCATAACTTTGCTCAAACTCACTAAATCCGTGTTCTGTGAAATGGGAAATGATCAGAAACTCATCTGGAACAGGATCCACACAAATTCGGGATGGCGGCCTAGAAAACCAATTTTTGAGAAAGTTAGGCCACCAAATAAATTTTAGTCTACAGACGCTAAAATTTACGACTAGGTGTGGTTTGAAATATCCAACAAATTGATTCAAAAACCGAGCCGAAATCTTCATTTTAAGCCGAGTTATAGTCAAAACACTCAAAAATTTTATTCTGAGCAATTTCACAAAATCCAGCATAACCCGAGTCAAAAGCAATATTTTTGAGTTCTGAAAAGTGGAAAATGATCGGAAGGTTGTCCTGGACAGTATCCACACAAATTCGGGACAGTGGCCTAGAAAACCAAAGTTCGAAAAAGTTAGGCCACCACTCTCATTCTTCCAAAATTGGGCGGACAGTAGCCAAAAAACATATAAAAACTTCAGGGATTCGCCAACGATGCATGGAACTCCATGGTAAACCAAGACGATTCCGCCCGTGTTGCCCGTTCAGTCTTCGGCCGCCGTCAAAAGAAACAATCCCAATGCAACTGTGGACCACAGGCC